TTCAAATTATCAATTATTCATTTTAATCATTTTAATCCTTATTTACACTTTCAGTTTCTCACACCAGAGAAACTATTTGGTATTTACACGTGTGTCCTATTTAGTTCACTTAAAAGTATGGCCTCAATACCAATCCATTTAGCTATAAATATCTCTAGTTTCTCATTTTTTATGGCTGAGTAGTACTCCATTTTATATAAAAAAATACATCTTCTTTATCCAGTTTCTAGTTGATGTGCACTTGGGCTGTTTCCAAGCTTTAGCTATTAGAAACTGTGCGGCTATAAACATGAGTGGCACTTATATTGCTGTGGTATGATTCTTTTAATTCTTTAGGGAAGATACCCAGCAGGGGAATAGCTGGGTCAAATGGGACCTCTAGTCCTAGTTCTTTGAGGTATCTCCGCACTGATTTCCACAGTTGCACCAGATTGCACTCCCACCAACAATGGAGAAAGGTTCCTTTCTCCCCACACCCCCATCAGCATTTGTTATTGGTTGATTTCTCAATAGCAGCCATTCTTTCTGGAGTGAAGTGGCATCTCAGTGTTGTTTTCATTTGCATCTCTCGAATGACCAGTGATGTTGCATCAGATCATTATTTTTTAAGGTCCAGCCTGATGTGGTACCTCCTTTGCCCAAATCACTGTTTTCATCAATGTCCAAGGGACACATCTCTGATTCTTGTTCTCCAGTCATAGCTGTGCATATGGCTCCAAAATAGACCTGCAAACTGGTCCCTTGTGGAGATTACACTAAGAATTATAGTCTCAGGTATGAGCAAATTCATCACTGCACCAACTGTATCATTTAAAATTGTCTTACCTCCTCCGTCTTTAAAACTTCCCATATTCGAGCATGATCTTCCACCACCCAGTGTCCTGTGCTTTCTACCTTGGTGGAAAGTTTGAGTTTAGGTACCTCTTGAATAGGCTCTTCCACAAGCTTCCCCTCCATCTTGAGAGAGGTGGGCAGGAGGCATTACGGATCTGTATAGAAGAATAAAGTGGGGTCCAGGTTAAAACCTTAACGTAAAAAGAGATATGACAGCAAGTGATTGTGCTCAACTTTTGAATAATGAGACCATAGAAGACCATATCACAATAGGCAACTCTTATGCCTACTTTTTATATTCTAAATGTTAATAACTGGTAGTTCAGTGCAGACTTCGGCAAGTAAAAGGGCACATCTTGATGACAAAGTAATATAAATTTTAAGGCAAAGCAAAAGTATCACCTGCCTATTGCATCTGTTTACCATTTTGCTCTGCCCTCCTCAGGAAGAGAAATGGACTGTGGTGGATGTAAGGGAAGTCTGAGTGATCTTATCATATGTCCATGCTGTGTGGTCAGGTGGAAGAAACACTGGCAATGCTGTCTGAAGTTTTCAGACATCTACTATCCACTTAGGCTCCATGCTAGGCAAACATGGATAATTCAGTAGTTTGCTTCTTATATCTAAGAAGCTTAAAGCCTCTGGGCAGAAAGGTGGTAAACAAGTATTAACAACATGACATACTTAGTATGTGAAATCCCACAATAATCATGTTTCCAAACTGCAAAAGAGGGTTGGGGCATGGCTCAGAGGTAGTGCACTTGTCTGTATTCCTGAGGCCCTGGTTCAATCCCCAGCACCAGAGGGAAAAAACTGCAGTGGCAACAAAGAAGATTCCTTTTGACATTTACAGGCTATTCTGCTTTCTGGGTCTTCAGTTCAACATCAGTCGCCATGAAACAACATTCAAAATTTGATACTAATGTCTTCTCTGTTGGCAACTTTCCATGAGCTACCAAAGAAGGTTTGCTTAGAATCTCATCCTCTCCTGCCTGGTTCAGCACCACAATGTGAAGCAGTCTCCTTGCCTCCGAGTCACCTTGAACCTATCCTCCTCAGGTTAATTGTTATAAAAAGCAAGTCTGTTAATGATGTTCTGCCTGCCTGAAACTTTCTCTTGAGACTAAAATCCAAGATCCTTCACATGGCATAGAAACCTTTTGTGTCTGACTTCTTCCACCTCCCTCCATCCATTTCATGTATGCACTGCTGCCTCCTCAGCTACTCTGCTTCAGCCTTTTCCAAGGACTTATACATCCTGCACCTTTACTCCTTGTGATTCGTCCTCTCCAACCCGCTCCCCTCTCTTTTGTTACTCTATGTACGCTGGACAGACTTCCATTGTGTCAACTACAACACTTTATTTGCTTTGAACTCCATTTCTACCTTCTAGTCTTATAAGCATATGGAGACTAAAGACGGTGTCATATACCAAAAAAAATACTAAATAAATGTTTCATGAACACATTAATTCAATCGCTTCAATTGGGAGAATATAATGAAAAAGAGAGCAGAATCTAATATAATCAAATAACAATTGTAAAAGTCAAGTTATACCTTCCTTTTAACTTTGTTAGCATAGTGGGCTAAGTTCTTCATAAGAAAGAGACTAGACTAATCATTCATCATGTATCACCAAGCAGCTAATACTTCAAGATAGAATTGCTCAGCTCAGTGGTTCCGCTGCCTGCCTCGCAAGCACAAGGTCCTGAGTTCAATCCCCGGTACCAAAAAAAAAAAAAACCAAGATAGAATTGCTCATATCTTACAACAGAACTGTTTTCATGGAAATGTCTTCAGGGAATTGAACATGTTTGCAAAAAGTGGGTCTTATGCTCATATAACCCACAGTCCAAATAAAACAGTGGAAAGTGAAATCAACACAAGGGGCAGAGGTGAGAGGTCAGGGGATTTGAGACAACTGTCTTCTGCAGGAGTTGGCACCTCACATGCTCCATCTGCAAGCCATGGAGAGCAGAACACCAATGAGGAAACTGATAAGCAGAGCTCTCATGAAGTACTTAGAAACACAGAGCACTTAATATGCTCCCATTAGTAATCAGGAAGCAGAACCCACATGATTAATGAGCAAAATTCTTCTGAGTGGACACACTAATAAATGATGCTGACACAAACATACGAGGAACTAAATAAAGCAGAGTCATGTGGAGATTTCTAGCCAAAGAAAAAAGGAAATTAAAATAAACAAGCAAGATGGAAAAAGGCCAGATTAGTAGGGAAGGAAATTCCATTGTTGTTACTGGAGATAATACTGTAAACAATAAATAATAAATCAAAACAAAGTGGGAAAACTACATAAAATGGTTTGGGTTGTATTCTTCATATATCGTAGAAATGCAACTGGATAAAATAGACAAATTACAAAAACTCAGCACAAACAGTGGAACATCTGTAAGCCTAATGTATCCCAGCAACCCCATAGCTCTTCCTCTACTGTCTGCCCACAGCTGCTCTCTCATTTCCACAGTGTGGGTGAAAGCTGGCAATTTTTCAGTGCCAGATTGAACTCTACTGAATAGTGACTTCCCACAGACTGCTCCTTGTCCTGTTTGGGAAGAAGACTCAAAATTGCAGACAGTTCCAAAGCATCCAGAAAACCAGAGATAAATCAAGAGGCAGCGAGCACTTACAAGGCCCTTCAAGCATTTTGAGTTCCTCCACCCCATGGACACTTGAAGTCTTCTTGGTCATCCTCAGTACATCTCCTTACTTTAAAAAATGATCCTATATACAATATATGTTGGGCTTCCAGTGTGCTAGGCATTGTCCACATGATCTCTATCCTGCAAAATAACCCTACAAGGTAGATACCACTATTTTACAATAATAGGAAAATAAGATTCAGGGAGGTGAAGTAAATTAACTACACTGTTAGAAATTTGTAGAATTTCCAGATTCATTCTATCCCTCCCAGGTCAGCTGAAAGGGCCTCTGGCTCCATCCACTTCCCCATCACTGGTGGAATGGTGTCCCTTCCTGGGCCCTAGAGTTAGTGTCAGGGTCTCCACTAACTGACACAACACTGCCCCCTTGAGAGATAGTCACACCTGATGAGCTCAAAGTTAAGGGTAGGCTAGAGATAGGGATGGACCTTTGTACTGCCATCTCAACTTCTGATCCCAGCAGGCATTATGGGTGTATGAAGTGTACAGCCACCCAGCACCCTCTGCTCAGAAGGGCCCCATGCTTGGCTGAATGCTCTGCTGTCTTTGTCTCGAACTTCTTAATTTTTGCAAATGGGACCCTGCAGTTTTGTTTTGCATTAGGCCCCACAAATAACATACCCAGTCCTGCTGTGACTTGTCTTTTCCTTGTCTGAAGTTCCATTTCATATTTTTTAACAATTCATGCATTATAAGTTTTACTACCAATTCTCTTTAAAAGAGTGAGAAGTCTATATGGTAGAGACATTTTTTGTTGAAACAGGAGGCACATATAGACCTTCATCTGTCTCTGAGGTACTGTGTGTCTCAGAACTGAACTACTGCTTTATTTTTTAAGGCACATGGACAAGGCTTACAAGTTAACCTCCACAAAAATGCCACCAACATGAGCCCACTTGACAGTACCTCAGACAATATAAAATCACTGTCAACTGAAAGACAGAATCTTTTGTTCAGGGTAAGAATGAGCCTTTTAAAAGCTCTTTTGCAAATTAATTTTTAAAAAAACAAATCCTAAAACACCTGAGACCCAAAGCAGAATGATTTTTATAAAATGCTGAATAGTCAGATCAGCCTTAAGATAGAAGCTGGGTAGGAAAAGGAATCTGGGTGTATATAAAGGCAACAATCTGATCAAAAACACAGAAGCAAAATTTTTCTCAAAAATTAAGATATAAAATTGCTTGAGACAGGCCGGGGATTTAGCTCAGTGATGCTGCTGCCTGCCTCACAAGTGCAAGGTCCTGAGTTCAATTCCCGATACCCCCCCCCAAAATTGCTTGAGAACTTTTTCCTGATAAAAAAAATCGTGGCAGTACACTGTGTCTTCTTCATGAAGCAGAGGAGAAAAACTAAAACCAGAAAGATGAGTCTGATGGAATGAAAGAAAGTTGCTCTCCTTTGGCACAGAGAAATTATCTGCAGATGAGAAAAGCCACAACAGGATCTCTGAGGTCACTCTGTCTTCAAGTCTGAGAGCCCTAACATCTGCACCAGAGACGAGGGGGTTTTATTAGGAGCTTTTAGAGTTAAGTTACATCCAAAGATCAGTCTAATGAAATTGCATAGATTGAAGAAATTGATTGTAATTTAAAACTGGTAAAAAGATGCTGCTGCTGCTGCTGCTGCTGCTGATGATGATGATATGGTTATTACTGAGAAAATATGTATTTCCTTAAATAAAGGTACTTATTTAAAATTTACGTTCTTAATATTTCTATAGTCTCTTCAAAATATTCACTAACACTATGCTTGTGATACACTATAAATTATCTATAACATATACTTTTAATCTATTCTATTCTTTCAAAACTAATCACTGATTGGACCTTGTAATTTCTTGCCATTGGTAAAAGATTATCCACAAGTCTTATGGATAAAATTTTTGAAACATAGCTTTGAAATAAGTTTTAGGCCACAGCTTCACTGAAGTCTGTATTTATTTTATTAACCTCATGCTGCACTTTGATAAATCAATTTGTACTTTACTGAATTTGACTTTCTTTCCTATGATAATAAATAGTGGATGAGATATCCCTCATAAATTATTATCTTTTTTTCTCCTCCCTCTCATCTTTAAATATTTTTGGAAGGAAAAAAAGTGTTAGTATTCAGAACTTTCCTGGAATGGTTTGGTGTTTCTTGTCTGCATCTATCAGGGCCATGCTTTTCTCTGGTCCTCCAAAGTCTATTACATGTGTCAATAATACAGTATTTCTGCTTTGTGCCCTTTATGCACATAAACTTTTTACTTCCACTTGGAGAAATATTTTTATTTTAAAAATTCAACTCAGACTTCTTCTAATCTGGAAAATGTCTGGCATTTTCCCTGTTTCAGTCCCTTCTCATAATTATTTGTCTTTCTGCCATTTCTTTTCTCCTACCTTCTCTCTTCCTCATGCTTCTCCCTAATAAACTGAGGTCCTGCCCAGACAAGATAGGTTTGTTTATTTCCTACTATTTTAACTCTT